CCCATAGCTGGCGGGAGAAGAAGAGGATTCCATGATAACTATATTTTTAAAACATTTTAATGCAATGTCAATCGACATCTTCTGATGCCTAGACCCGTTTTTCTCCTTTCCTCAATGACCAGTACACCCAGTCTTTTCCATCGTTTACACTCTCTGTATCTCCTTGAGTACTAGGAGCACTCCCGCCTTGCTTGGGTGAAATGCTTAAAAAATATAGCATTTGTAGTGGAAATACTGAGTAGTATTTCTACATTTAATACATAGATGAAATAAAGAGGTTTCGTCACCGTAATAAAAGCTTTGGCCGGTGCTTACAGGTCTGAACTCGTAGATCTAAAGAATTCAGCTCAATTGAACATTTGCCGTGTCAATAGCGAAGTGCTTAAGGTGACGCAAATTGCCTCAACACTGCATGAACGATTTTGATCCTTTGATACGATTATAAGTTGGACCTGACTACTAAAAAAAATATTTAAGTTTTCATTAAAGATACCGTAGCCATTTTCACAACAAAAGAGCTTGCGCATATACATCTATCTTAAAAATGGGGAAAGGTCGATGGATTTTTCTTTGGACAAAAGATTCCTTCTATAATTAAGAAAAAACTGAAGTCTTTGTATATTATCACGGATAAGAGAGTGATTAACACACCTTGCTCTGTGTGATTTGCTTCTAATTTATTCATTTGACAATGCAAAAACCTTTTTAAAAGGAAGTCTATTATCTAGAGATAAAATAATTATCATTAACTTGTCCTATTTACGAAGCCAAAGATTTTTTTTTTACACTTATGATATTCCATGGTGAAAATGGCCGTGGTTTAAAAATGCTTACAACGTTACCTTCAACAAAAATGTTACAAAACCCAAGAAACAGTGTACTTAATCATTGTTTATGGATGTCCAAGAGAATAATTAACCATTATATATATATATATATATATATATATATATATATATATATATATATATATATATATATATATATATATATATATGCATGAGAATATGTGAGTGAACAAGTGAGAACGAACGGAATTTGATCTTCAAAATTTATATGTAATATCAATTTATATGTAATATCAATCGCTACCTTCTTTCTTCCTTATTATTGTTACGTTATTGCACTGCCCCCTTCATAGTAGGTTTTTTTTTTTTCATATTATCTAATACTTAGTAATCCATTTTTACTCTAAGGGACGTTACTGACTTGCTTGGGAGTTCAATGATTGAAAAAACGTGATTTTCGTTCTGAAATCCCACCTGGCCTGGATTGAATTTAATACCTGTGATGAACTATTGTTTTGGTAAAGGTTGATCTACGTCGACCCCAGTAAGTTGTGGTCAGTAACTAAATAGGTTACTACTTGGGAATATAACGTGTTGTAAGTAAGCTTGAAATTACATGGAATGTAATGGATAATGACTCAAGAGCCGAGTCTCAATTCAGTTTACTCAAAAACTCACTTAGGAAATGTAAGAATCTCCTTCTTCCCACATCTATGGGTTAATTAGTTAGACTTGTACCCAGACTTCATTAGATAATTGTGCGCCAATTTCGCATTTCGAATTTATTCATATAGATTCCATAATAGTGATTGTACTTAATTCGGTATTATGTTTCTCTGAGTCTTCAAATGTCGAATGTATAATTAATTCTAATTTCTATTTTTTCATCTTTACACTATCTTAATGTTATATTATAAAATGTCTCCTGGTCTGTCACCCATGAAATAAAAATAATTCTTTGCACGGAAAATAAGGATCTATGTACATCAATTCGGCTTTAAATGAATTAGCAGCAGAAGAATTATTGTTGAACGTTTAAAAGATAAGTCTAAACATTAATTCAATTCAGCGATCAATTTTGAGTTCTTCTGTAGTTTATTGATGCCTATCGCTTCTACTCTTCCCTAGCTAGTGTGATGATATCCAAACGAAAATTCCTGTACATGAGCTAGATTAAATGCCGCCCGATATTTTACAATAAAACGTAATAAACTCAAAACAACTATAATAAAATGTGCCAAACAAAAACAAGTCAACAGCACTTTGCAACATAGCACATTCGAATAGCAATTTGAAAGTGCTTGAGGCCATTTATATTAAGTCTTAGTAGCCTTCTCTTACAGAGTACTTAATCATTGGTTATGGATGTCATTATGCAAGACAATGTGTAAGTGAACAAGTAACAAACGTTACTCGGTTAAGGCAGTGGGGAACTTGGGGAGGGGATTTAAAAGGAGATAACTGATAACTGACATCCATTAAACATGGCACGTGAAATTAGAACTCTCCGCCCCAGTGAGCGAAATAAAGGGTTCAGTTCGACATTCCAAACACCCGAAGAAGGCCGGAGAGTACAACGGCCAAAACGTTGTAATAAATATGGCAACAAAGATGAGAATAATAGTCTGAATAATGTAAATAGTGTACATGATACCTCACCTTTGAAATATAGACTGATACTGAAGGTTATTTTCTTCAAGAAATTAGGCGTACCATTCAGAATGCTAATCGAGCCACTTGTGTCTGTTCTATGTTATGGTATGAATTTTAGCGCTGCACTAAATTTGGCAACAATGTCTCATCAATTCAGTGATGAAACGATATACAGTATGGATATACAGTTGGATATGGTAGATACAGATGTAAGCTCTATGCAAGCAATTTCTCTTCTTGCACTTCTCGCTTGTGGAAATTCTTTCCGGCTTTTTGCTTTCTAGTTAACTTTGATTTTCAAAAAATTAAATCCATTCCCAATCGTTAATCGCTGTCTTTTTAATTTAAATGTTTAGATCAATAAAGGATGGGAAGTTGTGGAGACCCATGATCGCCTACTTCCCGAAGTGGCAAGATAATTAAAACGAAATAATTGCACTCCACAACGATATAAACAATTCGCAGTGATTAACTTTTCCTGTTTTAGTGTATTGGTTTTCGATTTTCTTTCTCTTCCAATTCGTTGCATTAATTGATTCGACAATTAACCTCCTCGAGCTGAATGGGTCGAATTAGGAATAGCGTTATTCAGTCGCCTCCCTACCGAATTCTAAGCAACTTGCTTTAATTAGAGGTCATAATTTATAGTGAAGTTTACAGTGAACTAGCCTTTAAAAGGTACTTCTGCCGACCAGACGTAAAATACGACTCACAAGAATAGCCTTGTCTTTGGTCGCGCTAATACCTTTTACTAACTTCCCACTTCACATTTCCAAAGACATGATTGTCTTAACTTATTTTCAGAGACGATATCTCCTTGCCTTTGATAGAAACGCTCCCCGATCAAGTAGATGTACACCTTTGTCCATTTTAATTGAAACAAACGCTTTAGTTTCCTTTCTTTCAATATACGGTCAGTTTTTTAGTCCCACTGGATTGAGAGTGTACAATCAATTTCTATTTTTTCTCAGATTAGGTCATTTGCAATGGTGTGGCGTAATATGAATCTATTTTCAGGGTGTATGATGAAATTTTTTTGGCCTTGACAAGTCTGTGATAAATTTTTATCACGCCCAAATACTAATGTGTATACTGTCGATTAATTGTCTACAGCCATTGTCTGCGATGGACGTTAATCCAGTGGAGCGTACAAAAGAATGTGTAACGCTTCACGAAATCCAATCGAGAATCTGTGATCAATCGGCAAGGAACGACTTCCTGGAATGAACATGCAAAGTAATAACATGTGCACTGTGGCATATTTCACTGGAAAAGTAAGAAGAAAAGTAAATAATAACGGAATTATTCGCTTTGTTTCAATTAATTTGCACAAGGGTGTATATCGTTTTATCACTGAATACAACAAATACTATGTACACGAAAGCTATCATCAACATGGCAGTGAATTAATTTGAACAAGGCTGTATATCGTTTCATCACTGAATACTAAAAATACTATGTACACGAAAAAACTATATTCTATATGGCAGTGAATTAATTTGAACAAGGTGCATATCGTTTTGTCACTGAACATTACAAATACTATTTACACGAAAGCAATAATCAACATGGCAGTGAATTAATTTGAACAAGGCTGTATATCGTTTCATCACTGAATGCTACAAATACTATGTACACGAAAGCTATAATCTACATGGCAGTGAATTAATTTGAACAAGGGTGCATATCGTTTTGTCACTAAACATTACAAATACTATGTACACGAAAATAATAATCTATATGGCAATGAATTAATTTGAACAAGGCTGTATATCGTTTTATCCCTAAACATTACAAACACTATGTACCCGAAAGCTATAATCTATATGGCAGTGAATTAATTTGAACAAGGGTGTATATCGTTTTATCACTGAACATTACAAATGCTATGTACACGAAAGGTGTATATCTATTTATCACTAAACATTACAAATACCCTGTACACGAAAGCTATAATCAACATGGCAGTGAATTAATTTGAACCAGGCTGTATATCGTTTCATCACTGAATACTACAAATTCTATGTACACGAAAGCTATAATCTACATTGCAGTGAATTAATTCTCACAAGGGGGTAAGATGTAATCCGAAACAAGAATCTTTCGTTATACTCACCAACATTATTTACAATATCCCAAAGGTGTTTTTATTCGTGGGTTTCTTAATCTTATGTACAGTTTATGAATGAAATCTCTATGTCGCCACAGAGATTGGCTTACTGCCGTTTTCTTTGATCTGAATTAAGTTGTCATTTCAAGATTTCAACATCTTATTTATCGGAGATAATTCCAAATGAATGTATCGCCATATTTCTTTACATCTAATTGAATTCATTTACGAGACAAAGATTGGTTTTTGTTGAATGCTTGCAAGAATATTTATTTTAGAGATAACAATCATTTAGTCATACAAGTCTAAGTAATTAACCTATGCCTGAGGGAAGAAGAGGCCAAACGTTTTGTGCGTAATTGAATATAACGAGCCCAACTGGAATTTGAACTCGGCTCTCCGATTAACATTTTCTAGCCATTATTCATGACATCACGCGCACATCCAAGCTTACAGCACATAGTATTCTCAAGCGGACGCCCATCTAGGCACTGAGCTAGATCGACTTTGCTTAACTTCACTGACCGGACGGGAACGGGTGTTTCAACGTGGTGTGTTCGTGGACGCACCTGACAGTGATTAAATAAGTGTAGCTTAGATGTAGCACAAGGTCGAAAATATAGAGCCCTCAGTGGGGATCGAACTCACTGCTCAGTTATAATTAATCTAGGAGAAAAGGTTGGTAACCATTATAGAACGACGACGTGCCCAATTAGAAAAAAAATTTTTTCATGGTTGATTTATTTTATGGTTATATAATTTAGTACTCAGTTTGCATTGTTACGGTTTTTGGGGTATATACCGTATATAACTAGGATATTTATTCCGTTATTTACAGAATTGTGGCACAAGGCCGAAAGGGGGGGGGGTAGAGGCTGGTCTTCACTAACTATCTTATACCTAGCTAATCAGATTCACGACCCATTCATACGTTACAATTAACCCATTCACCACAAGAACTTGTCCATCACCACTCAATCCCTCATGCACCATAATACCAGATTCTCACAAGGGACCTTGTCATAAAATTTGATGATACATAAAATGCTATACACTTCTAATAATGATAGGATGCAAGGGAAGGAGATGAACCCAATAATAACTAAAAATAAACACAACATTCAAACTAAACATAACATATGTTAGTAGGGACCGTCCAACCCTCAAAACAGAGGAGGTTGCTGTATTCTGCCCAAAGGCAGAATCAAAGCAACTCTCCTAAGGGAGTGGGAAAGGATAAAATATTATGCCGGAATGGGTAATATAAAACTGACCCAGTCAAGATAAAAAGAGGACCAAAACAAACTGGGGAGGTTGGGAATCTCGACTTGGACCATAACCAAAGAGCAGCCGGATACAGGCCAGGAACAACACTTATAAAAACATTACCTAGGTACACTGAAGCTTGTCTAACCTAACCAAGGGGAGGGTTCCACGGAAGCCACCCCTGATGTGCTATAGGTTGACTTAAAAAAGAAAATCAAGGCTAGCCCCGGTCACACGAACCAGGCTTACTTTTACCCACCTTTCGCTGAAGACTGTCGAATGTTATCGTTTTCATCAGATCTAATCTTCATCTTGAGCTGATGCTCAAAGAATTGGATCAGATGCTGATAAGAAAGACGGTTGCCCCCGCAAGACTTCCTCCATTCGCGTCGTCCAAATCACCATTCATGGCCATCAGCATCAGAAACATTCGTTTCTCCCCGGAATACGGGGGCGACACATTGTCACACGCGTATGCGCGATCCATGGACACTAGCTGTTCATATTAGCGAGACGAGCCGTCAGCTCGCCGAAATGGTCCCATAAGGGGCGGACCCGGGGGCAATGGTAGAAGGCGTGCGCAGCCGTTTCCTTAAACCAAGACCACACCGTTCACAGTCTGGCAAATCCGCCAACCCCATATGAAAGCCTTTGCTCATTGAGGCAATTCCGAGCCAATCGCCAGGTAAGCGAAAACTCAGGGTTACTGAGGTAATCCGCCGCTGGCGCCCAAGACCAATAGGAGCGATACCCTCCTCCGACAAGCCGAGCGTATCACGTAGTTTATCCTTCGCGCGACCCTCCACTAAAACCACGATAGAAGACCCCTTGAAAGGTCAACTAAAACCGACACTCGTGGATAAATCCGACATCCCGGAGCCTATTCAAATGGGGGGACTGATAGTAAGGCTAAAGGCGTCCCTAACAATCCCACCAGAATCGGATCTCCCTAGTCAATGCGCGGCGTAGGAAAGCCAAAACAGAGGCACGGATGTGACTCAGATTCCCAGGACACGGACGTTTGGTGCAGACTCGTCTTCGACCCTGTTCACGCGTCCCCTCCATAAATGGAGGATAGCAATCGCTCGAGCACCTTCCTGCGGTCTTTACAAGGAAGTACGGACAACCGATAAAGAATCAGGGGGAAAAATGTATATAACACACCTCCGCCCTGCCCTTCACGGACAACCGCCGTCGATTCCAAGTCTGACCGGCATAATCCGACCTTTGCGTGGACTAATTTATTCCAGCTGGAGGTAAACCACACTCCAAGAATGCGGACAATGGGCGGCCCGGAAGATATAACCGCAAGCCGGACGACTTGTCGCGGTTTATCTTGGCCCCTCAAGATCAAAAATGTCGCTGACGACAAAAGCAGAAACTGGCGTAGCGGAAACCCTTGGGATTCCACGTAGGGCCGGACTGCCGGTCCATCCTTCAGCCGGCGAAGGAGAGGCAGCCAAAGCATAAAGGAGAGGCGACAGCGGACAGGAAGCACGAACGCGTCCGACAACCTTCCGTTCACCTGTACCACAGCACTTACAGGAGGCTAATCCAGCGGCAGAAGTTGGCTTCGAATCCAGCGGCCTGCAACAGTAAGCAAGGTAGCGATGGTCAACCCCATCAAATACTGATCCAAATTGATCAGCGCGGCTTCTTCGTCGCCTTTTACACCCTCTATGATCGTGCGGATCAGATGCAGGTTGCTCTGACAGCCCTCACAGAACAAGTCTGCTCAGGTCCCAACAGAGACTCGGCAACTGACTGCAAACGCCCTGCAGGATCTTGGCCATAATCTTTAACTCTGTGTTTAAGAGTTAAATCATCTAGGTTCCCCAACCTTTGCCCTTTTTTTAACAGAGTGATCACCCCCTGGTCCGATTGGGGATGGACCCGACCGAAACCAGTTGTTGAACACTGCTGTCAAAATCGGAACAAAGATACAGCCTCAAGTACAATTCATATATATATCCCATCCAGACCGGGCGACTTGCCTCTGCCGACCTTCTTCAAAACCACGTAGATATCCCCTCCGTAATCTCTCCTCGCAGCTAGCCGCTTGATCAGCGAAAGCCGAGGAAAGTCAAATAGCTGCGAAACTCCTCATCAGAGACCAGGCTTCATGGTAAACTTCCCGAAATGGCGCCGAAACGCCTCGCAATGTCAGTGGCCCGAAGAGTATGTGCCTCCGGGATTCATCGCCACCTCGATAAAGTTCAAAAGACTTAACTTATGTCTAATTACCTGACCCATGTACCGCAATTCAAACGATCCAGGGCCGCCCTAGCCTATCTCTATCCCCCAGCCACCGCCCGGGTGTAACTAGCGTCCAAATCACCATTCGAGCCCGTTTGGCCATCAGATCATCGTTCCCAGAAAACACTATTCCCGCTGCACTAATCTAGTTAGTTCCCCGGAATCCTGGGGACAGATTGAACTTCCAGTAGCCAGCCATTCTAGGCCGATGATCTAACGTCACACACAAACGCGTATGCCCAGTGGAACGTCCAATGGATCTATGTCGGCTCTTCTAGCTGTTCTGTCAAGGTAGAACCACCTTGCGAAGGCCAACGAGCCCACGTCAGCTCCCCGGGATGATCGACCATATCATCGACGAGACCATAATCGTCGATCAGATAACCAGGCTACGATCGTCCCTTCTCCCAGCACCCTGAGTCAAAAGAATGACCCATTAAAATTAAAACTTTATAACCGCCGAAAAACGAGACCCGCTCCTCCTGGTCATTGGGCGCATAAACCGCAACGAAGAACGAACCACTTTTCACGGCAATATCGGCCACGATCAACCGGAGCCGCCAGAACAAGAGTCCGTCTGACAAGCAAAGAAACTCCTCTGGCAAACCGGTCCCCATATGCTGAATAGACAACAAAGTCATCCTCCAGCACACACGCAATACCGTATATAACTTGTTTTGACCTATTTCCCTATAGTCTACCAATAGAAGATTAACCAATCAGGAGCCGCAGAACACTGTATCCATGGTGTATAAAGGCGGCCATCTTTGTTTTCCCTACCGAAGGACCAGAGCCGAACACGACAGAAGGAAGAATTACACTCTGCTGTGATATCCACTGCGAACCTGCACTACGCTTTCCTGCTGTCTCCGAAATATTCACTGCCAACCTCTGGATTCTATACTCGAAGACGACCGTCATGAAAATGTCTAACATGCATCACCGATGTTTCTTCGTTCCAATCTTTTGACTGGAGCGTTTGGCTTGGCTGTTTGCAATATAGTCTGATTTATTTACATTTTGTTCTCATCTTTGTTGTTGTTGATGTCACAATATTTCGACCGGTGTGTCAGTTGCTTGTTGATCCAGTTAACTTTCTGGGACACACAAACGGAAGTTTGTTTTTTCTTGTCTAAACAACGTGAGTAGATCCGAATTTTTGCACAGGACAATAGCCTAATGTATCGTTTCTCAACCGATGAGCACAGGCACACTAATCCGCTCTGAAAGGTAGCCATGTGCGCCCCAAGTTAACAAAAGAGTAACTAATGAATTATTTAATATTCAAACAATATTTAGCTTTTAAAAGCTAGAGACCTCCAAGTGCATGGCTTCCATGTCGAAGGGAAGTCTTTGTTATTTCATATTTTAAAATGGATGCTAAATAATTTGATATTTAAGAAGGAGAGGGGAAATATTTCCCCATTTGCTTTCCATAAGGGGATTTAATCCGTCATTGTAGGCCTCTTTCGGAAAGCAGCAGATTCTTTATAAATCCTTATGAAATGAAAACTGTACCATTAATCATCTTTGGGAAGGCTAAGCCAAAATTTCATATTTTCAAATTTCATGACTGATGAATAATTTTTCCTCATGGAAACTTAAAATGCACTCCAGAGTTATAAGTTTTGGTTGAGGAGTTCTCCCCTTTTTGCACAAATGGACTCACCCAGGGTATACATATACTACTGCTAGTGAATACCCGAGGAAGCGAACGAAGAACGAGAAAGAACGAAGAACGAGAAATAACATAACGAGCAAGAGTCACAGTGAGCAAGAACATAGACTCAGTAAGAAGTCATACAGTGATACGTCGATACCTAAGACTATATATATATATATATATATTGCTACTAACCCGCATTCCTGGAACTACTAACCTGCATTACTAGTTTGTATTATTACATTAATACATTTATTTTTCTATATTACTTCTTGGCGTTTGTTATTTATTGGTACCGGATTTCATCCCGGAATTCACAACAGTTATTTTATAAGGGGAACCCTGAAGTTAAAAAGGATTAGAAACAACAGC